GGTGGGGGCAGAAAGTGAAATGAAAGCAGACAACAGAACATTGTTAGAGATCAGGAAAGGATGTGAAGGGAGACAATTTTAGAGAAGAAAATTTTTTGGTCGCTACCCGGAATCGAACCCGGGACCTTTGAATGAGAGGCCAACACCTTAACCTCTAGGCCACGAGAGACCCCAATAAATATCATGTGTCACATCGCGGTGGAATGGGGCGCTTGTCAGTTTTTGGCCATGTAGAGCTATTCGTATCATCTGAAAGCTGATTTATTTGCCTTGCTTTGAATGAAATAAATATTCATTTATTTTGAATAGAATTAAAGATAATATTTGCGATTTAAGAAGCGAGGTCGCTTGGTTTCAGTGGTGAAATTGGTGAGAAAATGGCCACCAAAGTTTGATAACTACATTAGCTAAAGATCTTTGAAAAATGAAAAAAACATTTTTTTGGAGCATTTTGTCAATGTTTTTCAGTAAATTTCACATGGCCGGAAATGTGTTTTTATATTTACCTTAAAGAGGTTAAGCCAAAAAAATAAAAATTCGATAAAAATTTCCAAACTGGCTGAAAAATGCAGTTCTCCCATTTCGTTATTTTGACGAGCGCATCATTTCATGACGTTGCCTCACATATACAGTAGTTAAGTTGTAAAGTTTAGAGGGTTAGTTTGTATAACTTATTACGGTGAAGTGCTGTGAAACATAATATTCAACTTGAAGAAAACCATCGAATCAGTTGAAAATCTACAGATTCCAGACCTGTGTCGATTGTCGGCCCATCTCTCCATTCATGGATTGTGAGAAGTAATAATTATTCATTTTATCATCATACCTCATGTACTTGTGGGGTCTAGTACTTTCTGTTTCAATGTAGTTGTTTTAGTGCACCGATATAAATCATTTGGTAGTCTGGGTTTTTCTCTGCCTGTAGGGGTTAACGCGGGCAGAGAGGGATACAACGTCCAAGCAGAAAGACCGAGATATTCGATGAACATGTTCGTCATGTGATTTGGTGCCACATAAAAAGATAAGATAACATGCCATTGATCTCCACAAAGTGACATTTGCTGCTGCATGGTTAATATATATATATATATAATATGTATATAGAGGGGCTATATATATATAATATGTGTGTATGTATGTGTGTGTATGTGCGTGTATGTGTGTGCGAGTGA